CCTCCCAACTCCCAAATGGCTAGGACTACAGGTGCACACCACCATGTTCAGCTAATTTTTTTTTTTTTTAGATGGAGTTTCACTCTTGTTACCCAGGCTGGAGTGCAATGGCGCGATCTCGGCTCACCGCAACCTCCGCCTCCTGGGTTCAGGCAATTCTCCTGCCTCAGCCTCCTGAGTAGCTGGGATTACAGGCATGCGCCACCATGCCCAGCTAATTTTTTTTGTATTTTTAGTAGAGACGGGGTTTCACCATGCTGACCAAGATGGTCTCGATCTCTTGACCTTGTGATCCACCCGCCTCGGCCTCCCAAAGTGCTGGGATTACAGGCTTGAGCCACCGCACCCGGCTTTTTTTTTAATTTTAAATATTTTTTCTTTTAAAGACGGGGTTTACCAGGTTGGTCAGGCTGGTCTTGAACTCCTGACCTCAGGTGATCTGCTCGCCTTGGTCTCCAAAGTGCTTGGATTACACGCGTAAGCCACCACGCCCGGCCTCAGTTAATTTCTTTTTTTGTAGAGACGGGATCTTGCTATGTTGCCCTGGCTGTGGTTTCAAACTTCTGGCCTCAAGTGATCCTTCTGCCTCGGCCTTCCAAAGTGCTGGGATTATAAGCGTTGTGCCACAGTGCCCGGCCAACAATAGATTTATAATATCATTGAGGACAGGGATTGTGAGTCATCACAGCGCTCCAGTGACTGGCAGCATGCCAGGGATGGGGGAGGGGAGAGAGGGAAGGAAGGGAGGCTGCTTAGCCTGACAGTTCAGCCAAGTGCAGGCACTATCATGTTCATGGCTACCAGGCACCTGCCAAGCACCAGGCTCTGTGCTGCCCACTTCACACAGATGGTCTCACTCGGCCTTGATGACAGCCTGTGGAGGTTGGTATTATTTACTCCAAGAGAAACTTAAGGCAGAGAGTTTAAATAACTTGCCAAAAATCACATAGCAGAACCAGGATTGGAGCTTAGATGTGTTGAACTGAAGCTGTGCTCTTGACTGCCTGGCTGTGCACAGCCTTCCAGAAGAGCACAGCATGGAATTCTGGAATTCTTGCAGCCACTCGATTCAAAACCAGTTAGCACGGTGCTCAGCACAGGTAATAGGGCGTTTGACAAATGCCAGCGACCCTTGACCGAATGATTGACAGTCTGAACAAATGAATGAGTGAAGTGACTTCCTGCCTTGTGGGGTCTTTCTCTTCAAATGGAAGATTTCCCTATAGCCTTTGAATGCTTAATCTGATTAGGGCAAAAAGGCATCAGAGAATTGCGGGCCTTTCCTGTATTAACTGTCAAATCCAGTCTGTAGGCTATTTACGTGCCAAGGTCAGAGATCAGTCTTTAGCTCTCTCCCCTCATTCATCTGGCCAAGCTCAGAACATAACATTTATTGATGCAAAACTGATTGGCAGGTAGGGCTAACGAGGTGGTGGGAACAGGGAGGATCAGAAAGAGTTCTAAGCCACTGTCTCAGCCCAGCTCCTTTGCTGTCCTGACTTCCCTGTGCTCTAGGTTGCAGGGTCACACTTTTCAGAACCGAGCCCCAGAAGAGCAGCAAATGCTGTCTGGCCCTTTGGCAGTTCTTATAGAGCCCAATCAAGAGTAGGAGGGGGAGCAGTCCTGATTCCTGGTTTTGTCTATTAACGTGGAAAGAGTGAGGCATGGGAGATTAGGTAGTATAGCCTTAAGACTTCAAAAATCAAAAACATTCCTGTGTAAGCCTTCTCAGGTCTGTGGGTTGTGAAGAGGAGGGTAACTGTCACGCCTGCAGTTTGCAACCAACCCATCACTAAGCAGTGCCTGTCTCTGGGGAGCTCCTGCCAGTGCTTCCTCCTTCATGCCCCCCAGCAAAGAGGCTGGGAAGGATGCACGAGCCACACGCCTGGCTCTACTTGCAGTGTCCCCAGGATAAAAGCCAGGAGGCAGGCCAGGCACGGTGGCTCATGCCTGTGATCCCAGCACTTTGGGAGGCCGAGGCAGGCGATCACCAGGTCAGGAGTTCAAGACCAGCCTGGCCAACATAGTGAAATCCCATCTCTACTAAAATAATACAAAAGTTAGCTGGGCGTGCCACGCACATCTGTAATCCCAGCTACTTGGGAGGCTGAGGCAGGAGAATCTCTTGAACCCGGGAGGCAGAGGTTGCAGTGAGCCGAGATCGCGCCACTGCACTCTAGCCTGGGCAACAGGGCAAGACTCCATGTCAAAAAAATAAACAGGGACGGGCGCAGTGGCTCACGCCTGTAATCCCAACACTTTGGGAGGCTGAGGTGGGTGGATTACCTGAGGTCAGGAGTTCAAGACCAGCCTGACCAATATGGTGAAACCCCATCTTTAATAAAAAAAATAATAATAAAAAAATAGGGCCAGGTGCAGTGGCTCACATCTGTAATCCAAGCACTTTGGAGGCCAAGCTCGTCTTTTAAACAAAATAAATAAATAAATAATTAAAGCCAGAAAGCCAGGAGGTGGGCAGTCAGTTCCAGGAGAGGGAGGTGGCCCCGGAAGCTGTGGCTTCTGCTATTCAAGATGGGGAAAGGAGTCCCCTGGTTATTATCAGGACCAATCTTGATTTTGCTTGATCTGAGAGCAAGCAGCCTGACCACAGGTCACTTGAAATGCCCTGTAATTTAGAAACAGTGTCCGTCCACAGCAGACAGCTATTTGGATTTAAGTCCCCATATTCACACATCACACCACAAAGTAAAATTGTCCACTTAGAAGCAAAAAATAACAAAATTAAACCACCAAGCACCCAACACACGGTTCAAGGTCCCCTCTGAGCAGGGAATGTCTCCTGGTGTGTTTGCCTACAGGCTGTGGGGGTGGGGGGAGAAAGTCCTTTTTCCTCTTATCCGTCGCAGGGCTGGCTCCAGGTTGCACAGAGCTCCAGGGAGAAAACTGCTCACTGTAGAGAAGAGCAGGATCCAGCCCAAGCTCTACTCTGATGAGCTCTGAGATCTGGGGTGGTGACTTCATCTTCTATCTATGGCTTGGAACAATGATGATGACCATGACCCTCCCGTTTCCGTTCAGTCAATGAATAGGGAGCAAACTGCTATTGTCAGGCACTAGGATAGGGAGGTGATTCAGAAAGGCTCCCAGAGACCCACACAGCAACCACTAAATGGATCTAACATGCTAAATGCTACATCTACAGTAGGGACATGACATGTTTTAGGTACGGAGAGAAAAAAGGGAATTGAGAAAAGCTTCAGAGATTTTATCTTTCTTTTTTTCCCTTGAGACACAGTCTTGCTCTGTTGCCAGGCTGGAATGCAGTGGCGAAATCTTGACTTACTGCAACCTGCAGCTCCCTGGTTTAAGCAATTCTCCCGCCTCAGCCTCCCGAGTAGCTAGGTTTACAAACATGTGCCACCACACCCAGCTAATTTTTGTATTTTTAGTAGAGATGGGGTTTCACCATGCTGGCCGGGCTGGTCTCGAACTCCTGACCTTGTGACCTGCCTGCCTCAGCCTCCCAAAGTGCTGGGATTACAGACATGAGCCACTGTGCCCAGCCTGCTTCAGAGGTTTTCAAAGTGGTTTCTAGACCATCAACAGCCAGCCTCACCTGGAAAATTGTTAGAAATGCAAATATCGGCCCCACCCCAGACCTGCTGAATCAAAAGCTGTGGGGGTGGATCCCAGGAACCTGTGTGTGAACAAGCCCTCCAGGTGATTATGATGCAACCTAAAGTCTGAGAATCATGTAGAGGTTGGAAAACTACCTTGCAACCAGCAACCTGTTTTTGCAAATAAAGTTTTATTGGAACACAGCCATAATCCTTCATTCAGATATGTTTGTGGCGACTTCCCCTTTAACCAGCAGAATTGGCAGTTTGTGACAGAGACAATATGGCATTGCAAAGCCTGATTCTGCCAAATGACTAGACTAGATCTCCCATACTAGGGAGCACAGCCTAGATTTCTTTTCCTTTCTGTACTTTTTTTTTTTTTTTTGAGATAGATAGGGTATGACTGACATGCAGGCTGGAGTACAATGGCGGGTTCTCAACTCACTGCAACGGAGTGATGAGTAGCTGGGACTACCGGCATGCGGCAACACGCACAACTAACTTTGGAATTTTTTTTTTAAGAGACGGAATTTTGCCATGTTGCCCAGGCTGGTCTCGAACTTCTGGCCACGTGATCTGCCTCCTCAGACTCTCAAAGTGCTAGGATTACAAGGGGCTAGAGCCACACCTGGCCTTTTTTTTAAAAAAAAAAAAAAAAAAAAAGAGAGACAAGGTTTCAGTATATTGCCCAAGATAGAGTCAAACTCCTGGCCTCAAGCAATCCTGCTGCCTCAGCCTCCCAAGTAAAGTGGCTGGAACTACAGGCAGGTGCACACCACCATGCTTGGCTCCTATTTTTTTTTTTTTTGAGATGGAGTTTCACTCTTGTTGCCCAGGCTGGAGTGCAGTGGGGTAACCTCGGCTGACTGCAACCTCTGCCTCCCAGATTCAAGTGATTCTCCTGCCTTAGCCTCCCAAGTAAATGGGATTACAAGCGCCTACTGCCAGGCCCGGCTAATTTTTTATATTTTTAGTAGAGATGGGGTTTCACCATCTTGGCCAGGGTAGTCTCAAAACTCCTGACCTCAGGTGATCTGCCTGCCTCAGCCTCCCAAAGTGCTGGCATTACAGGCATGAGCCACCACACCCAGCTGCTCCGGTCTATCACTATCCACCTTGGTCCTAACGGAATTCCCCACAGCTGCGTGGCTTAGTAAGAGGCAGCCTGCTTTTCACACTGTAGTGTGCAAGGCGCTAGCCCAGTGCTGGGCTTGTATCACAAGAAGTTTGTTGCCCTCTCTTTTCCCCTCTACCTTTTGTTCTCCCTCCAATCTCCCCACCTTCCTTGTTCAGTAACAAGTATTCCTCATATTTCTTCAAGAAAATTTTTAATTGTTCCCATCTATGTCGTATGATTAAAACTCCAGTATTCAGTCAGGTCCATCTGTCCCCAAGCCTCCTACACTTAATCTGTGTGACCCTCTTCTTCCTTCTTCTCTAAAGGCATGAGGTCGACACCCCCTTCCCAATGTGACCTCTGTTAATGTGCAGGAAGACTCATAATTTAATCCTAATATGAAAAGTCAATGGAAGAACTGAGCTGAGTATTTATTTGAGACAGTCACACTCTGTTGCCCAGGCTGGAGTATACAGCCATAATCTGTGTACCAAATCCTCCACCTCCCAGCTTCAAATGATTCTCCTGCCTCAGCCTCCCGAGTAGGTGGGATTATAGGTACTCGCCACCATACCAGGCTAACTTTGTGTTTTTAGTGACGGGGTTTCTCCACGTTGGTCAGGCTGGTCTTGAACCCCTGACCTCAGGTGATCCACCTGCCTTGGCCTCCCAAAGTGCTGGGATTACAGGCATGAGCCACCGAGCCCATTACTTTTTGAGATGGAGTCCCGCTCTGTCGCCCAGGCTAGTGTGCATTACTCTTGGCTCACTGCAACCTCTGCCTCCCAGGTTCAAGTGATTCGCCTGCCTCAGCCTCCCACATAGCTGGGACCACAGGTATGTGCCACCACGCCCAGCTAATTTTTTATATTTTTAGTAGAGACAGGGTTTCACCATGTTAGTCAGAATGGTCTCAATCTTCTGACCTCATGATCTGCCCTCCTCAGCATCCCAAAGTACTGGGGTAACAGGTGTGAGCCACCGCACCCAGCTGGGAAAGACAATTATTAAATTATTAAAAGGAAGTAACATCTGGGGAGGGAGTTGAGGTTGCTCAATTGGTTGCTCTCTGGTAGACTAAGAGGACTGCTGCAGCATCAGCAGGCTGTGGGGAAGAATGCACGACTTGATAAAACTGTGTTAAGGAGACTTGCTTAAGAGCTATTGAATCAAGCTGGGCAGGAGGAAAGCACAGATAGAGACAGGAGTGACTGGCAAAGAATCTTATGAAGGCTAAGGTCTGTTTCGTTTTTGTTTTTAAATCCTTACTGGGGCCAGGCTTGGTGGCTCACGCCTGTGATCCTAACACTTTGGGAGGCTGAGGCAAAAGGATCCTTTGAGCTCCCAAGTTTAAGACCAGCCTGGTCAACATGGTGAAACACGTCTCTACAAAAAATACAAAATGAGCTGAGTGTGGGGGCATGTGCCTATGGTTCCAGCTATTCAGGAGGCTGAGGTGGGAGGATGGTTTGAGCCTTGGAGGCAGAGGTTGCAGTGAGCCAAGACTGCGCCACTACACTCCATCCTGGGCGATACAGCCAGACCTTGTCTCAAACAACAAAAAAATCCCCTAGTGCTCTTCCTAATGCTTTTCCATTTTGTTAGGAATGGGAAGAAGAGAGGAAATAACTGGCTAAGTGACTACTCTGTCAACCGTGGTTACAAGGCATTTTCCAACATTATTTCAATGTTAAGGAAAGCTGCTCATGAAATTAGGTTCACTGGGCCACAGTTTTCAGATGAGGAACCTAGGAGAGGTGAAGGGACAGAATTGGAACCCCGTTCTGTCAGACCACAGATACCCCACCTGTTCTACACTGGCCTGTTAATTTATAATGAAATTACTGCCCTCACAAAATTCCCATTTCTTCATACCACTAGAAACCCTTTCTCAGATTTGGGAGTACATAAATAGATTAGGTGATTTCTAATTTTTTTTTTAAGACAGAGTATGCGATATTACTCTGTCACCCAGGCTGGAGTGCAGTGGTGTGATCTCAGCTCACTGCAACCTCCGCCTCCTGGGTTCAAGCAACTCTCCTGCCTCAGCATCCCGTGTAGCTGAGACTGCAGGAATGCGACACCATGCCTGGCTAATTTTTGTATTTTTAGTAGAGACGAGAGTTTCACCATGTTGGCCAGGCTGGTCTGGAACTCCTGACTTCAGGTGATCGACCCACCTCAGCCTCCCAAAGTGCTGGGATTACAGGCGGAGCCACCACACCCGGCCCGATGATTTTTTTTTTTTTTTTTTTTAATTTAGTCTTGTTCTGTTGCCAGGCTGGAGTGCAGTGGGGCCATCTTGGCTAACTGCAACCTCTGCCTCCCCGGTTCAAGTAATTCTCCTGCCTCAGTCTCCAGAGTAGTTGGGATTACAGATGCCTGCCACCATGTCCAGCTAATTAAAAAAAATATTTTTAGTAGAGACAGGGCTTCCCCATGTTGGCTAGACTGGTCTTGAACTCCTGACCTCAAATGATCCCACTGCCTTGGCCTCCCAAAGTGCTAGGATTACAGGTGTGAGCCACCTCTCCTGGCCCAATAATTTTAAATAATTACTTTTATTTTATTATCATTTTTGAGACAGGGTCTCTGTTGCCCAGACTGGAGTGCAGTGGTGCCAACTTAGCTCACTGCAACCTCCACCTTCTGGGTTCAAGTGATTCTCCTGTCTTAACCTCCCAAGTAGCTGAGACTACAGGCATGTGCCACCACGCTCAGCTAATTTTCCTATTTTTAGTAGACACAGGGTTTCACTATGTTGGCCAAGCTGGTCTTGAACTCCTGGCCTTAAGTGATCCACCTGTTTTGGCCTCCCAGAGTGCTGGTATTACAGGTGTGAGCCACCACGCCCAGCCTAAATAATTACTTTAAAATACAGGATCATAGGCTGGGTGCAGGGGTTCATAAACGTAATCCTAGCACTTTGGGAGGCCGAGGCGGGCGGATCACGAGGTCAGGAGATGGAGACCATCCTGGCCAACATGGTGAAACCCTGTCTCTACTAAAATACAAAAAATTAGCCAGGCATGGTGGCGAATGCCTCTAGTCCCAGCACTCAGGAGGCTGAGGCAGGGGAATTGTTTGAATTTCACTGCACCCCGGGCTGGAATGCAGTGCCTGATCTCGGCTCACTGCACTCCAGCCCGGGGACAGAACAAGGCTGTCTCACATTAAAAAAAAAAAAAAAAGAAGATCCTCTAGCCCAAATCCATCACACTAGCAGTTGGAGAAGCTTGAAAAGGTTAGATAACAGGCCCATGCGGCTTGTCGGTGGAAAGAGCTAGGCTGTAAGACACCTCTGACTCATTGTTTTCTCTTACTAAGACTTTACACCATTAAAGATAGTGTTATTTGGTGGGGCACGGTGGCTGGTTCACGCCTGTAATCCCAGCACTTTGGGAGGCGGAAGTGGGCGGATCAACTGAGGTAAAGAATTCGAGACCAGCCTCACCAACATGGCAAAACCCTGACTCTACCAAAAAAAAAAAAAAAAAAAAAATTAGCCGGGTGTGATGGTGGGCGTTTTTAATCCCAGCTACTCGGGAGGCTGAGGCAGGGAGAACTGCTTGAACCCGGGAGGCGGAGGTTGCAGTGAGCAGAAATGGCGCCACTGCATTCCAACCTGGGCAACAAAGCGAAACTCCCTCTCAGAAAAAAATAGTAACTTTTTAAAAAGGCTGTCATTTGACGGAGTTACCGCCTTGATCACTGGCTTTTCTTTTGTGTTAGGTTGGACCAGCTCTTAGGTTCTCCTAAGAGAACCTCGCATGGTAGTCCTCCATCTTGCCCTCTTTCCCTACCCACCGCCCCCACCCCCGAGCTGCTCTCCTCTCTCCTTCCAACACTGTTCTCTTTGGGAATATGCATGTCCAACTTCCCAAGCAGTCTGGGATCCAGAGGAAGATGACTCTTGGTTTAATGGAGTTTTTCCACAGTGCTTGAATGTGCCCGAAGGATTTAGAAGCTTGGAGAACTAACAAAAAGCACGCCGCCATCCTGTGCCGTTTCGGCATGTCTGTGTTCTGTTAATATGTGGAAGAATTAACAGAAGTAATAACGAAGAAATAAGGGCAGAAACTCCACTTGGGAGTACTTGCTTAACCCTGAAAAAGTTCAAGGCTGTTGTTCAAGGTCTGAATTTTTCCCTTGAGATTCACTTGCAGTCCTTAAAGTCATCTTCAGGCATCTGATCAAGGCAGCATCCGCGGAAAATTAAAAGGTGGGTGGCTGCACTGGAGCCTGTCCTGGCTCAGGGGAGCCGGTGAAGAGGAGTGAGATTTTTTTTTTTTCCTTGACGCTGGATGATCAGAGTGGAAGCCCTCCTTGCCCACTAGGTATTTCTCATTCCTCTGGAGATATTCTGCGAAGGGCCGGCGTGTTTTCTCCATCCTGGCCCTTACCCTCAGACCCTCCTAAGTACCCGGGAGGACCATGTTTTTCCTCGGAGGTTGAAATGGAACCTCCCCCAGGGTGCCTGGGGAGAGTCCCTTGGGGGCAGCGCCCCTCCTTCCGGAGGGCAACATCCCGGCGGGGGCGGGGGCTCGGCTTTGATCCCAGGACACCCTTTTGTCCCTGGAGACCGTCTGCCAGCCAGGTACGTGGAGGAAGTGCAGCCCGCCCTCCCGGGCGCCGCACGGGGCTGGGGCGGGCCGGCGGCTCCAGGGAGTGGCGGCCGGGAGCCCGCGAACGCGGGTGGGAGCCGCCGCCTCACTAACCGGGAGCCTCCGGGAAGTCCCGACGGGGTACGCCGCTCGCACATAGGCTTAGCGTCCTCTAAACTCCATCCCCGGGCAGAGCCGCCGCACTTCTCACCCAAACTCGTGGAGCCGAGGGGTTGGGCGGGCACAGGCGCCGGCGAGCGGGATTCCGGAACTGGTGGGCCCGGACGGCCAAGCCCCTCCAGCGCCGGCCCAACAGCCCCGGGGCGGGGGCCAGTGACACAAAGGCGGTGGCGGGGCCTTCGGGCCTCCGGCCTCCGGCCGTTGCAAGACGCCCGGGTCCGCCCGACCTCCCTCGCGTCGCGGCCCGTCAGCCGGCGCCGCCCGTCGACCGCCTTCAGCCGCCCGGCGAGGCGCGGCCTCCTCCGCCGGCGCGGGGTCCCCTGGTTAACCCCTGCCCGGCAGCGCGGCCGCTGATTGGAGGAGGCGGGGCGCCGGGGCAGCGGGGACCCCCCCCCCACCTTCCTCCTCCCCTCCCCCTCCTCCCCCACTGTCGGCGCTTCCCCCACCCCCCCAGGACCCCCCCCTGCCTCCCAGCCGTGCAAATCTCGCGAGGAAACACGCGGTTTCACTAGTGTGTTTACACCGATCACTACTAATCCGGACCGAACCGATCCGGATTAAGGGGCCGGAGGCGGGTCCCGGGCACCAGCGGTTCCGACCCCCCCCGCCCTCCGCGCGGCACCCGAGTGGCCCCTAGCCGAGCGGGCCCCCACCTCCCGGCCCGGCCTGGGCCGTCCTGCGCCTCCCTTGGCCTTTGTCCGGCGCCAGGAGGCCGGTCCCGCGCCCCCCGCGGCCGCCCGGGCCCGGGCCCGCGTCGGGCGCCTGGCTCTGTACGCGAGCCCGGGGATCTGCGGCCTTCGCGGCCCCCCTCCCCCGCCCGCCCTCTCGTGGAGCCCGGCGCCGGCGGCGGCTGCCCGGGCGGGGGGTTGCGGCGCTCAGGAGAGGCCCCGGCTCCGCCCCGGGCCTGCCCAGGGGAAGAGCAGAGCGTACCGCAGCCGGGTCGGGTCGGGGCCCCTCCCGGGAGGAGCGTGGAGCGGCGGCGGCGGCAGGTGAGAGGCTGAGCCCGGGGCCGGGGAGAGCGCCGGGCCTTGGGCATTAACCGTCCCGGGGACCCCTTTGGCCTGAGGAGCCTGCGATCTGGGCCCAGCTCTGGGCCGGCTCTGGACCGCAGCTCCTGGGCGCTAAGGCGGGAGGTCCTCCCCGAGGGCTGCGGGTCGCCGAGGGGCCGGGCCGAAGATGAGGGAGGCCCAGGCGGCCCCGGCCTGATATTGGGGCCGGCGGCCGGAGGAGAGACGGGGGCGACCTGGCAGCTGGAGGCCCTGGCAGCCTCCCGAGAGCCCCCGAGAGCCGGCCCTCCCTTCCTCCGTGACAGGTGGGCCTGGAGTTGGGGAAAGTTTGGAGCCGGCGAGGGGCGCCGGGACCAGGCCCCATCGTTCCTGCTTCCCGGCTGTGGGCTGCAGGGAGGATCCCAGTCAAAGGCCCCGTTGGAATTAGACGGAGCGGCTATTTCCTTAACATGAGTTGACGTTAAACGGAATAGCCGCCCGGGCGTCATTTTCCGGGCCAGGCCTGGGGATGGAGGTTTGGGAAATGTTGCGAGAGACCTTGGGGTTTGGAAGAAACTGCAACCTCTGCCGTTCCGACCTCGATTAGGGCAGGGCGAGATGCGAGGAAGGCCACTCAGTGGAAACTCACTCTCCCAGTCTCTTTTTTTCCCCCTTCTTTTTCTTTTTGTAGAGATGCATTTCAGCCTTTCTCAGAATTTCCTAATTCCTCTCTAACCTGCACTTGCATGTGTGGGTGAAACTTTAATTTGTCACCTTTTTCATTCCCCTTTGCCCTAGGCTCTCAATCCAGGAAGGGAAATGAAACTGAAGGACTTGTAAGGGGGTTATTACTGGAGATTGTGGAGTTGTTGGATTGCAGAGGAGAATGTTCGATTAATGTTTTCAGTGACTTTAAAATCACACCAACCATTCCAACTGCTTAATAATGTGTTCGGAGGGGTTCTATGTAATGATATATGCTTCTTTTCCACTGTTAATATTAAAGAGAGGTTTTCAATGGGTCGTGCAGGAGTTGGTCTCTTGCAAAGGATGGACATGTTTGCTGAAAGTAGCCTGTGCATTAATTGGTCATGGAAGTTTAAAAATGGTGTCCTCCTGCCCCTCCCTGCTTGGAAGAAGTGCTAAAAGCAGATGTCCAGAATCAGGAGAAACCTAGTGTTCCCGGGAGTGGTCAGAAAAAGACTTTTTAAAGGGACTGTTATGGAGCTATATTAATTTCCT